AACATATTAAAGTGTCTTTGGTGTTTCCATGTTTTCTACAAAACAAAACCGGAAATCGAGGGGTTATGACGTCATTAGCAGGCGACACTATGGACACGGTCCGTGTCACTAGTTAAAATTGCTTATTTCTCTGGATTTAAACATTCTTCGAAACATTTGGGATAATGTAAGTACACAAGTCAGTTAAATATATAACACTGTTCTAGTGGTTTTTGGATATTTGAATAAAAACAAATCTTACATATTGTGCCTTTAACCTGTTAGTGATGTATTCATTATTTAATGTACGTTTGAACAAATCTTGAAACCATTATATCACTAAAAAGATAATATAAAAACTGCTTTATGTGTAGCTTAAATGTCCACACAGAAATCATATTTTATTTCAGTGTTGATTATTATATCTAAAATTAACAGCAATTGAATTTGGACTCGGCTGTCAGTTTTAACCTTTAATATTGCATTAACATAAATGGCAGAGCTTCTGTATAACTTAGTTCACAGCTTTAGTAGAGATTGACATGAACTGTACTTGATATAAATGCAAATTAATGATATCAAATCAAACCAAGAGCTTATGAATCGAAACCGATCTATAAAATCTGTCACTTACAACGATTACAGATCAGTTGATTTCTCCTGAACACATAAAACATAAATCATAATTGTGTTGCTTATGCATAACTACAGTTAAACCTTCCAAATAATGTAAGTGAAGCCAATAACTATAAACATGTGGAAATTAATTACCGTACAGTAGTACAGAATTGTCAGATAACGTATTTACATAGTCTAAAAAACATGGTTAGAAACAAAATCGATTATTAAAAACTACCTGTGTTTAAATTAACTGAAAACCGCGGCAAACTCAAACAGACGCGATCACGCCATTCACCTTTCCGTCACCTCCTCACACGGCTACATTACAAATCAAAGCCTTACGCTTCTACATTTACATCCTGATCTCAATTTAGTACGACAGCATAATTACGATCAATAAATGTTGACACTCACCGATCGATCTGTAACTGACGCATTTAGTAAAAGTTTGTAGAGGAGACAGACCGCGCTGCAGGATGGAGGCCGCCATCTTGAGACTGAACCATTCGGCGCGAGGGGGGAGATTCACAGAGAATCGCCACGATCTGGAATCGCTTAACATTTGGAAATACCTTATTATTACTAACATTTACTGAAAGATAGACAGGATTTGTCACCTATATCAGAGGTATACCTTGCGTTTTATAGTACATTGTAATGTAACCAACCAACCCCGTGCATCCGCAATGGTATAGTCTAGTCTGAGCTAGCGCGTTGACCTGTGAAAAAAATATTTTAATTATTTTTAATGAGTTAACGATTAAATTAACGATCAAGGATTGCGTCTGGATACCATTTAAGCGCAATTCTAATAATAGTTATATTGGTTCACATGGTGTGATGGCAGGTGTGTCCGATAGAGGGCGCTCTAATCTTATAATCTCTGCTGATTTCAAAACAACAATTGAAAATTAATTTAAATACACTTCAGAAACATTATACATTAAACATTAACCATCTGCTGAACTCTTTCCCTTCACAGTGACAGTGAAAGTCTGCAGTCATTCATATAGACCGAGTTAGAGACCCTAAATATGGCCTAAATATATATATATATATATATATATGCTAGATATATGTTGTAAACAGCAAAGCTCTATAAAATATATTCTTGAAATCGAAAATATATTTAGTTTCAACCTTCATATACAAAAATATTTTTTATACATTGAAAATAAATTTCCTTTGTGTTATCTTCACACGTGTTATATAGACAACAAAAGCTCAGTATTATTTTTGTGAATATTTTATATTTTCTGCTGTCGTGTTACTTTTAGTTCAAGTTTTAGCATTTCAGTTGTGTGTTTTTGTCATTTTTAGTAGTTCATAAATAGGTAGAGTTTTAATTAACAGTTATTATTAATTTTATTTCAGTTTTAGTTATATTAGTTCATCAAGTGGAAAATGGAGAAATGTTGCCTTGGAAACTAGCTGAAATGAAATAAGGTTTTATTTTTATTTATTTCTGTTTATTTTATGTCAAGCCTCATTGAGATACTATTATAGTTTTATGGATGTTTTGCATAAAATCATCATTTTTTTATTGTTTTTTTAAAAATATGTTTATATTTTTTATTAATTTTTATTTCAGTTTTAGTTTTAGTAATTTTAAAGTTAATAAAAAATGTACTATACTAATATACTATTACACTGAGGTGATCGGAAGACAGGAAGAGGATCTGAGCACTTCCTCTTTGCTCTCAGAGCTTCATCAGGACAAATACCCAGAAGGTGTGGTGCCTAAAAAAGGCCTGAGAGTTGAATATTCATGCACAGAGATTTTATTTTATTTTTATTATTATTTTTTTGTATCACAGATCCAGTAAAATGTACACATGTTGAGAATAATTATGCATTTGTGGGTGTTTTGAAAATGTGAAAACGGTCTCTTTTGCTCAAAAGGCTGCTTTTATTTGATTAAAAATACAGTAAAAATTGTGAAATATTATTAGAATTTACGATAGCTGGTTTCTATGTGAATATGTATTAAACTGTAATTTATTTCTGTGATGCAGCGCTGAGTTTTCAGCATCATTACTCCAGTCTTCAGTGTCACATGATCTTCAGAAATCATTCTAAATGTTAATTTATTTCACAACTTATTCCACTATTGCATAAAATCATCATTTTTTTATTGTTTTTTTAAAAATATGTTTATATTTTTTATTAATTTTTATTTCAGTTTTAGTTTTAGTAATTTTAAAGTTAATTAAAAATTTACTATACTAATATACTATTATAGTTTTATGGATGTTTTGCATTAGTTTAATATAGTTTAACATTTAAAAATGTTAGTAATTTTGTTGTGTAGTTTTGTCATTTTTATCGTTTTTTTTATTTTTTTAATATGTTTATATTTTTATAAATTTTTATTTTAGATTTAGTAATTTTAAAGTTGATAAAAATGAGAAATGTTGAATGAAAATGAAAATAAAAACAAAATACAAATGCTTATCAAATAAGTAATTAAAATATATATACATATATTCTAAAAAATAGCCCAAGAAATTGAGAGAAATTTTATTTACGTGAATATATTTTAGCAAATATTTTGAAATATATATATTTTTTTGCTGCCAGGGAAAATGTGCTTTTGTGTTCATTTAAAGGCCGCTTGAGTCAGTTTTGAAGTGTAAATGTGGCAGGATCGGGTCATTAACCGTTGGCTCTGGTCACACAGTGCCCAAAAGGTTGTAGAGTAAAAATAGACTACATTTAAGTTTACTTAAGAATATATTTGCTTGGCTATATAACACTATATACTATAAAGTTTTGCAAAAGTTAGTATTTTTGTCTCATTTTCAAAATGAATCAAAATGACTAAAGATATCACATTTTGTTTTCTGAAAGATGTATTAGAATTAATTGAGTTTATGATTAAAACAAGACAAAAAAATATCTGCCAATTGGGTCAGAAAAATGATTTATTTCCCCCGTTGAATTTTGAAGTTAGTTTTTCTCATATTTTCGGGTATAAACAGTGCTTTTCAGTCATTAGAAATAGAAATATCTAGTCATTCTTTAATCAAGACGAAGCAAAATAACTTCATATAATAAGTCTTGTTTTCTAAAAGAATGATAAAAAATGTTGTTAGTTTTTGCTTGAAACAAGAAACATATCTGCCACTGGAGCAAGAAAAATATATTTTTTTTCTTTTAAAGTAAGATGTAAGAATAAAGTAAGAATTTTTTCTTTTTGCAGTAAACTCAAAATTTTTTTGTCCAAAAACCTAAGAATTTTTTTTTTGCAGTAAACTAAATTTTTTTTTTTCCAAAAACCTAAGAATTTTTTTTTTGCAGTAAACTCAAAAAAAAATAAAAATAAAAAAATAATCCAAAAACCTAAGAATTTTTTTTTTTGCAGTAAACTCAAAAAAAAAACAAAAAAAATTCCAAAAACCTAAGAAATTTTTTTTTGCAGTAAACAATTTTTTTTCCCAAAAACCACTCAAAAAAAAATAAAAATAAAAAAAAATTCCAAAAACCTAAGAATTTTTTTTTTTTTGTCGTGAACATGTCTTTACAGTATTGTCTAAATAGTAAGATCTTCATGATGACTGCATTATAATATAATTTTCCCCCTTATTCATATTCTGTGCTGTTGTCATTGCATTTAAAAGTCAAAAGTTTAATCTTTAAATGAATTTATTGTACTTAAATATTGATCAGCGTTCACACTGCAGTTGATTCACAGGCAAATAAAATCATCTCTGTGTTTACAAAAATACAAAACTATCAAAAAATCATAAATCTGTCAGTACTGCGTCAACCCATTCATCATTAATTTATCAAAGTCAGAACATTTTAGAGCAAGAACACCTCCATTGAAGGCAATTAGCATTAACGGTCAGAAATATATCAGTTTTCAATTATATTAATTTCATTAAACATTACGAGATATTACCAAGTAGACTAAACATGCTACACGTCTTCTGAAAATCAAGATACTTTCACTGCAAAAAAAATGATGTTTTGTCATGTTTTCCAGTAAACATTCGTAAATCAAGATGCATTTACACTGCAAAAAATGATTTTCTTACTTAGTGTTTGTGTCTTGTTTTCTAGTATAAATATCTAAACATTCTTGAATCAAGATGCAAGTAAAATGACTTAAGATATTAAGTCTTGTTTTATGTAAAAAAAATATACACATTTTGTTAGTTTTTGCATAAAACAAGCAAAAATATCTGCCAATGGGGCAAGAAAAATTTGATTTAAGGTTATTTTTCTTACCCCATTAGCAGATATTTTTGCTTGTTTTATGCAAAAACGAACAAAAAAATTTTTTTTTTTTTTAGAAAACAAGACTTAATATCTTAAATCATTTTACTTGCATCTTGATTCAAGAATGTTTAGATATTTATACTAGCAAACAAGACAAAATCACTAAGCAAGAGAATCATTTTTTAAAGCAAAATTACTTTTTATTGTTCAAAATTTTGCTTAAAACAAGAAAAATAATCTCGTTTCCCTTTGAATATTGACCCCAATGGTAGATATTTTCTCTTGTTTTAAGCATAAACTCACTTAATTTTTAGGACTAAACAACTTAAGTAATTTTGCTCATTTAGATATTTTCTATTGGAAAACGTCAAAAAATACTGACGCAGGAAATAATTTCTGTAGATTTTTCACATGAAAAAAATACTGAAACATCATCATTCACAGCGTGTCTGAGAGTCTCTGTCTTGTTGTCCGTCAGCAGCCGTCCTCTTTATCTCTGCAGCGCTGCGTGTCGTCTGGTCTCTTCTGTAGAGGTCAGGACTGTACAGACTGTCCTCGTCTTCTTCTCGACCGGAGCTGCCGCCGTCAGACTGAGACAGACGCAGCTGCTTCTTCTGGGACAGATCGAAGGGCTCCTCCTGACCGATGCGGGACAGGATCCGCAGACGACCGGAGAGACACAGCCGTCCTCGTCGCCTGAAGACTGTGAGCATGCAGAGACATCGTCAAGATCATACAAGACCAACAACAGAGAGGACAGCTTCAGAAGACTAGTATGTGGAGCACAAAAGCAGTAGCACACACACTACCGCTCAAAAGTTTGGGGTCAGAATGTTTTTACAGGAGTTTCTTCTGCTCATCAAGGCTGCATTTATTTGATCAGAAATACAGGAAAAATGTAATATTGTGAAATATTATTATGATGTAAAATAATACATACATTAAAATCTAAGTTATTTCTGTGATGCAAAGCATCATTACTCCAGTCTTCAGTGTCACATGATC